CAATATGACTGCATAAGGAAAATCAAAACAACATGCACCAAATGCCTTTTGAGTATGTTTTACATTTTATTTTATTAAAATATTACATTTTCATAATGAAACTCATTGATCGATATACTTTTCGTATGCATTGTTCAAAGTTTGCAAGTGATTCCAAATATCAATCCTGCCTCTGTCTGAAAGCATCTAGCAAATGTAGGAAGTTGTGATTGATCTGTGATAGCAAAAAGTGGCACTTTGGAGCTCAACACTTTTATTTAAGGCTTAAGCTTATGCCAAGGAACTCCATCTGCATATCTACCCTGTCTTCCCATCGTCTCCCCATTCCAAGGTATTTAAATAACACATCAGTCAAGCTACTTCATGCTTCTGACGCATCAGATGAAATGAGTTACAATTCATTAAAGGTTATGCCTTAAATAAAATTGTTAGTTCAAAAGCTGCTACCAGACTCTGCCCAAGTTTTGCCTAGCAAATGTTAGTTTAGTTTTTATTTCCATTTTTATATCAACTTTGCACTTTTAATTGTTTCCAAGAGGGCAAATACATAATTAAAACATTGTCACATTCTGTTTCCAGGCTACTTCAATGATACTTGAATATAAGCAAATCACATATCAATGTTACCAACACTTTGATTCACCAGTGGTCCATCCAGTCAATCACTTCTTTAGTTATCAGAACAGACTGAAGATATAATATTATGGGGCTCCTATGCCATAGCTACTAACAAAAGAATTAGATCAGAAGTGAAACACTTTGAAAGATGGCTCCTGCAGCATGGCAGGGCCCTATTTCCTTATAGGGCATGATTTCTGAAGAATCATGTGTTATAACATTATACTATTATGTAAGAGAGCTAAGTTTTATATTATGATAAACATTATCTAATTGTAGATTTGGATGCCCAGATGCTGGTGATAAACAATAATAGAGGCTAATCTTTATGACATGATTTTTGAGCTTCCATCTGGCTAATTGCTGTGGGAAATATAACACTGGAGGTGATGGCTCTTCGGATGTTCCCACAAGGTCATTCATTCAACAAGACACACAGTTACTGTTTCAATTAATTAACATTGCATCCTACCTTTCCTGCAAAGTAGAAATGGTTACTAGATAAAATAGAGGCAATATACTAGATAAAAAAAATCTCCAATTGGCACATTTCTAAAACATGGTCAGTCAAATCCTGACAAACAAAAAGTGATTTACTTGTTTTCTGAATTATACTATTGGAGTCCATTCCAGAATGAAGGTCATTAAGATCCCCAGTAGGAAATTTTAGACAGTTGCAATATTGATCAATTGTTTGGCACAATGTAGGTGGCAAACAGGGAAGATTAATGACAAACTCAAACCCCTGGTCAAGGTTCAATTCAAAATGTAAGGGAAAACTATAATTTATTAGATCCCTTGAAGATAAAATGCCTTTGAAACAGAAAGGAAAGTTTGGGTAATCAACAGTGAGTGGGGGAAAGGGGTATGAGAGAGAACTCCAACTAGGCAATATCAAGATAAAATTAAACCTTAAGGTGGGTTCACATATACTTCAACTTAATAGATGAATTATTTACATTTCTGTAAGTGTAAACAACATTCCCTGGTCTTCATGGAAATAGAAATCAGGACAGTGTTTGGTCCTTATCTGATTCATTACTTTTGTACTTGTAACTTTTGATATATAAACTGATATAAGAGTTATAAAATATGGTTCCTGTAACCATGGGATGAGTGGGGAGAAGGGAAGAGTAAGAAAACATGTTTATGGATATTTTATGGGGGCGTTTTACCGGGTACGCCTGGTGCACCAGTTGCGGCCTTTTCTAGACCGGGATGCCTTGCGCACAGTCACTCATGCTCTTGTCACCTCCCGCCTGGACTACTGTAATGCTCTCTACATGGGGCTCCCCTTGAGGAGCACTCGGAGGCTCCAGTTGGTCCAGAATGCGGCCGCGCGGGCGGTGATGGGAGCGACT